GCTTGACATTTTCACTCTTTTCCAGTAAAATGTCTTTTCCTTTTATTTCAATTACTTTGCAGTAGTTATAGTTGTGATAATGGGGCATTAGATGAGAAATAGCTCTGATCAATCCATTGGGGGGGGGTCACGTATTCAACTTCATCCTAGCGTATTAATGAATCTCCCCCTCTTGAAAAATCAGGTCCGGTGGTAATATGCATGGTTTGAGCCGAGCATGCTGTTCAGCTCCCATTTCTGGCTTTCTAAATGTGGCAGTTATGGAAAAAGGAAAGATTCTTACAGTTCTGGTCAGCTGGACGTAGGCAAATCCTTGATAGCGAGATAGCGCTTGTAGAAATTCTGCCTCGCTACTTGTCCCTGACGTGAATCGACTCTATCACGCCAATTAGTGTTTACTCTTTAGACGCAAACAACTGGCTGAGGAACGTGAGAAGGAAGAGCAGCGATACAAACTCGCTATGGCCACTGAGGCACAACAAGCTGAAGCGTTACGAATCGAAGAGGAACGAAGGTTTGTTCCATTTTTCTTGAAACGCCCCTCATAATCGGACGAGTTATCGAGGCGCTCTTTCATTTTCCCAAACACTCCAGAGCGCAGTATCTGTTGCAGAATAGCCGCAGCAGAACGCGAACGTCTTGACGCGGCGATCGCCACGAGATTGTCGCGCGATGGAGGCGGAGCGATGATGGACACGCCCACAACGAGCATGTAAGCCATTTGTGCCCATTGTGTACTCCTTGTTTGGATCAGTAGCGCTGAAAAAGAGGGCTGAACATGTCAACATTAGTATCCTTCAGCTACTCGCGTTTAGGTCAACCGGTGGTTCTTCTATTGATTCGACTACCAAGCCGAAAGGAAAATACGACTTGTCAACATGGAGATATGCAGAGCTGAGAGATACCATCAATACCAGTACAGGTAAGGTCTTCTGGGCACAGATTGGCCTGGTGGGGGCATTAAATGGTACTCTGCGAGGCTTGGACAGGCCACCTTGTCAGGACCTGTAAAGTCCCGGAAGTGAATTTCACCAAAGTTAGACTTGTCAGTTGAATGAACTAGAAAAAGGATCTAGAGAAAGTGCCCTCCACCTCCCCGTCCCCTCTAGGCCGAACACCGCAGTCTTTCCGTCTTATAGTCGAGGGCTTTGACCGTGCCAGCGCTAATTAATAGGCTCAATAAAAGGGGGAAGGAAGAAGAGCCTCGAAAGAAATTTCTATCATATTTTGCTTTTTCGGCTGATTTGGCTTGAGAGAGACTAGCGCTACCAGTAATCTTACCCAAATTGCCTTGGTTAAGTCTATCATAACCGAGAGGGATGCCTCGTCCAGCTCAGATTCGGAGCTTCTTCGCCTTCGCCATAGCTTCCTTCTCTGCCATCGTGACGTGAGATCGACCCTTGAGATGGGTGAATCTACCCCTCCCCCCTATCTGGACAAGTGAAAACCCCTGCTCGACGGAATTTGTGATTCCAATGCTCGACTGGAACTAAGGGAGGGGGGCAAAGGGAAGCAGTGAATGAGGAGACTTAAAGCTTGTATCAAAAAGTGCTTCCTTCCCATGACGATTTGCCCTGTAAGCGTCTAGTCCAGGATGGTCTCTCACAGGCGAGTACGCATTCCACCCCCGTCCTCTCCCAACAACAAGCAAATGGCCCTCGGAGCTCTGTGTGCGTCATCTGAAAAGGGGTTAAAAAGCGCAGAAAAAGAAAATGATGGGCTGGAAAGTGGCCACAATCACGGAAGTCCATAAATAACAATGCGCGACAGTCAGGGACATAAATTGGCGCATCAGTGCCATAACATAGCGCGGTTTCCCCAATGTGGTACACTTGGTACGATCCCATTACCGAGACTTCATACCCGAAAATTTCCAGCTCTTCCCTCCATCCCTTTCATGGTATGGGTCAGATCTGTCCTGTGCTATTGCGTCTATGGGGTCCTTAAAAGCGGACACTTTCAGATATGGAACTATTGCTGGCCTGTAAGGAGGAATTCCACCGACGTCTACGTATTTACAATGCATGGAAATCGAGAAATCAAAGCCAACAAGAGAACGAGACCCCAAGAGCACCAAATGCTGTCTATGCCAATGCACAAAGTAGGTTTTTTCGAAGTTGGAGGTATTCGGTGGAAATAAGATTGTACTAAGGGCACTCTTCCATAAGTATCGAAGAAATTTGTGCCAACGAATTTTTGAAATATGAAGCTCACAACTATGCGCACGCGCCGCCCACAGTGGGCGGGGCTTAGCCTAGTTCACGTGTGTTCCGTACATCTTGGCCCATGCCCTACCCATCCCAACCTTGACCCGCCCCCTGAGACTGGCTCTTCAGGTAGTTCCGAATTTCCGGACAGACAGACAGACAGACAGACAGACAGACAGACAGACGTCGCCGTTTATATATAGTAGGATTGTTCATG